GGGAAGTAGGTTGAGATATAGTTTGAATTAATGTGGCGTATTGTGGGTAAATTCCATCCGACAGATAATATCCCATCTTATAGTGGTGACCTTGTACTACAAACTCGCATGATGGTGCAACTTCATTCACGAGATCATCAAACAACGGAGATCTATCTAAAACATTGATATCATTGTTACTACCGGCCATACCAAAAAACGCATGCCAAATCCATAAACTCTGTGAAGCCACAACCTCTAAAATGAGTGTAGGAACTTTTTTGAAGCCATTAGTATGTGTACCGTGCCAAGCAGTAGGACAATTTTTCCAATGCCAATGCATACAATCTAGACTACCAAGCATACCTGGAAATCCTCGAGTCTCGCTTTCTTTCATTAACATTTGGATGTCAGATTCACATGGTTTTCTTAGATATTGTTCTTCAAATACAGTGATTATCGCATCACAAAAACGCTTAAGGCTTTCAATGGCAGTGCTCTCCCCTATTTGAATATATTCGTCCAGAATATCGGCAGGACAACCATACGCAAGCATGCGTATTGCCGCTATCATTTTTTGTAAAGGACTTAACCCGAGCTTCCTTGCTGCATCAATCTTTTGTGTAAAATAATCATCGAATTTTCCAATCTTTTCTAAAATATGTTGAAATAAATTGATGTCCATTCTAAATCGACGCCGAAAATGCTCGGGTGTATACTTGGAGTTTTCACCACTGAAGTAGTCCTTCATAATTAAATCGTGACGTGCCTTTCTATCACGTTGAATGTACCGTCTACCTGGAATAGATCCGCCGTGAGGACGTTTTTTGTTTACTAAGACTTGTGAAAGTATTATAGGAACTTGAGTCGCGATAGTAGGTACTATTCCATATGTCGCTTGACTAGACGAGTGTTCATCTACCATCAACTCATCTAATAATTGTTTCGACATCATAAGCGAATCATCACTTGAAGATGAAGTGGTAGATTCTGATTCGAAACTTGATGAAGACATTGATAAATGCCCTGCCATTGCAATACAATCACAAATTATTCTAATATCAAAATAAAAAAACTCTAATATATTATTTTATACATATTTAAATTATCATTATACAATTAATAAAAAATAAAAGTTGAATAAATATAACAAAATTTATGTAATGATTATTTTATTTGCTAAAACATGTTTCTAGTATATACAA